GAATGTAAGCAGACATCGCAAAAGGAGGAAAAGAATCCCAATATAAACTCCTAGAATGATCCACACCAAAACTAGCCAAACAATTAGCAACTGCATTACCCTCTTCAAAAATATGAGTGACACGAACATGCATACAGGAGAGAAGAGCAAGACAATTAATCCAACAAACATGCAAACTCCAAGGAATCTTGTGAGAAGCAGAAGAAAGAAAAAGGACCACTAAAGAAGAATCACATTCAATCTACAAAAAATTCTAACAGTTTGCCGAAACTAAATCCATTTCATGAATAACCGCATGCAACTTCGCTTCTAAACAATAAGCAATTCCAATTGAAGATGCAACAGCCTAAACAACTGCCAAAATGATCTTGAATAATACCCTCAATCTCTGCCACCATGAGCCGCACAATCAGTGTTAACTTTGAACTAAGAAACATGAGGAGGTAGTGGTCACAATCGTACCGTCCTCTAAAATTTGATGAAAATTTTGATTTTGGTTCATTGTACAACTTAATTCTTTGTCAATGGCTCAATTAGAAAAGGTAAAGGATTGTTTGATTTAAAATGTCAAAAGCAAAAAATAAGAGGACGAATTGGTATGAAATTCGTTATTTACAACTTTACACTTACAAGTAAAAAAAAAATCACTAAATTATAGTATTAAGTGAGATGTTAATTTTTTTTTCAACGTAATAAAACATTGATAACTAGAACAAGTTTTGAATTTTTTACATGATCTCGTCATTTTGTAGCCAGTTTGTATAGACTATTGACTCGCAACTTGCTATTTAAACTAACCTTTCTTTTGTTTGACCCAGAACAAAAACTATTCTTTTTCTTGAATTTCCTTTTTTACTTAGTTTATCCCCAATATTTTATAATAACAATTAAAAATTCTTGTACTCAAATACGCACAAACAAACATCTACATATGTTGCAACCTAACACTATAATAGTTTAGCTATGTAGTATTACGATCTAGTGGTAATCCTCTTTACTTGTAAGTGAGAGGTTTTAGATTCGATTCTCACCAAATGTGAAATTGAACCACATTATTGCTAGTGCCATTGTGAAGCTAAACCCACCTCTTCGTTTAAAATAGATAATATCGTTTGTTCAGAAAAAAAAAAAAAAAAAAAAGCACTATAATAGTTTAGTTATATTTCTCCTTGTTAAAGGAAAGAATTCCACAAGATAAGTGTCAAATATTGTGATTGATTAGTAGTTATTTGTTTCCTTACTTTGTATACATCTATGCACAATTATTGGCACTAGAGTAGGATCTTGATATGTAAGTGTAAATATGTGATCCTAGCTATGTGAATATACTATGAATATTATTCCTATCATATCACGTTTCTCTTGATGGCACCAGAGCATTGACCTGGGAAAATACGAAACACAAACACAAACCCTAGCCTACACAGCCATGGGAGACAACGAAGGAGAGAAGCCAACCAAACCAGGCATGACTTCAAACCCTCCTGGCGCAATCCTTGTGCCATAGCCCTTGGTGGAAGACAACTATAGCAAATGGGTTCAATCCATGAGCATGGCCCTTGGGTGAAAATTAAAAGTAGTTGTTGGTGGTGTGCTTGATGGATTGCAATAGCTAGAAAATTAAAAGTCGAAAGGAACAAAAAAACCCAGAAAAAAAAATCTGAGATTTTATCTTTTGTTTTTGGGGTTGGCAGTGACCGGTTGTTATTCTTTTGCTCCTGCAATAAGTTGAGAGTTAATGGATGGAGAGAAGGGGGAGGGGTGGACAGGCTGTCTGTGTGACGTTCGGTTTATTTTTTATTTTTTTGCAAATTAATATTTTTACACTAGAAGAAGAAGGGTTCAGCTAAACCATATAATGAACAGCCTTATTTGATATCAAATTCGTTATACATGAGATTCAAACTTAAGATCTCTTATTTTAAGTAAAAGAAATATCATCAGATACTTAATGGTTGGAGGTTTGTTTTAAATACGTCATTTGTTTTTTTCTAAAGTTTTCTTTTACAAATAAATAAATTGGAAAGGCAGCAAACGTTGAAATGGGACGTGGAACTGGGAGGCCGGTTTTTAAGGTTTTTACTAGGGAAGGAAAGGAAGGGCTAATTTTAAATTTTTATGTAAACTACGTATTAATATATTCCTGTTTGTCAATAAAAAAATAGTGAAAAGACTATTTAACCTTCTATCGTACAAGAATAATGATGAGTAATAATGAAATTTCACAAATCCAAATTTTATTGTATCTTATCGAAACCTCACTTACAGTGATGTTATTCAATATATATCTAATATTAAGAGAGGTTTTTTTTCATTAAATGCTTTACCCATTGTTATTAGAAGTTTAGGCATGATTCAAAACCTCATGGCTCTCACATACATCCAGTGAGTGATAAAATGTTTTTGTTTAATGTGGAAGGCAGCAATTCTGCTTCGACAAAGCCGCGACTTCTGCTTTCATCTCCATTTCTTTCTCTCAGAAACTTCGCCCTCTCTCTCAGAAATCCCCAACAATACTCTATTGCTCATAAACTACCAAGCCAGTAGAAATCTCTTCGATTCTGCCTCTCAGAAACTACAAAGCACAACGTCCGCTTGCTGAAGTACCTCCCATTTGTACTGAAGTGCCCCAACCAAACTCATGTAAAAGCTAGGATCATGTAATAAAAACGTTAAGTACTGAAGTGCTGAAGTGCCCCAACCAAACTCATGTAAAAACTAGGATCATGTAATGGTTCTCCTTCAGACATAAGAAGTTGTGTATGAGGTTTTGCTAGTGTAGGTGCTCGTTTACATGTCTCGTACCAGCCTTTTTGAGCAGCTCCTTTACATACTTGGTTCGACTCACAAACAGATCTCCATTTTCTTTGTACTCCATCTGTAATCACAAGAAATAAGTCAATATTCCCGTATCTTCCCGTATCTTTCAAATCAAAGATCTCACTGAGTTGTGTTATGACTGTTGAGACCTTTGTTGAATTTGAGCCTCTCAATATAATATCATTTACATAGAGAAGTAGAATGATAATATCAACCCCAACATGTTTTACAAATAAGCTTATATCATAGAGAAGGAAACACTCCTGTAAACTTTGAGTTCCAATCTCTTGGAGCTTGTTTAAGTCCATATAGTGACTTCACCAACATACATAATCTGGACACTTTTGATCAACAAAACCTCGTGGTTGTTTCATGAATATTTCTTCCTGTAACTCACCATGCAGAAAAGCATTCTTGACATCCAGTGGTCTGAGTTCCCGCTTGTGACAAGTTGTAAGTGCAAGAGTTAGCCTTACTGTAGTGTGCCTAACCACTAGACTGAATTTCTCAGAATAATCCAATCTATGTTCCTGTGTATACCCCTAAGCAACTAGTCGAGCTTTGTACCTTGCAACACTGCCATCTGGATTCTTTTAGCCTTATAAACACATTTGCTTCCAACAACAGATCTATCTCAAGGGGGAGGCACAAAAATCCATGTCCCCTGAGCTTTCAATGCATCATACTCCTCTTGCATTGCTCGCTCCAATTAGAACTAGATGCTGCACTCTTGAAATTCTTAGGTTCTTCACAGTCCACAATCTCAGCCAAGAATCAAAAAGCCAGCATAACACATGTAATCATCATCTAATTGAAGTGACTTTAACTTAGGTAATTCAGCATAACATGCAGTATAATCTCTTCTACTTATAACACCTGATTGCAATCTAGTTCTCATATTATGCTTCATGTGATTTGCAGAATTTGAAATAATAGTAAGCTCCTCATTATCAAAAGCTGAGATCGAAAGTAATATTAGAGTTGTGCACGATCTAGGACGGACAACAAGGGTTGGGATTGATCTTGGAGTAGATGAGCTTGAGGGTAGTGTTTCGAATTCCTGTAATGGGACTAATCAAACTTGAAATAAGAAATATTTGATACAGCAACATAATTTAACATTTGTAAATTACGCATTGCAGCCACAAATTCAAACCCGAGAAGAACAAAGAAGCTGCTTAAGGAGACCGACCGAACCTCTACGGCGCCGCTGGAGACGACTCGACGACGTTGCTCGCTACGATTAGACAGCGTAGCTCGTGTCGAGATCTGGAGGCTAGAAATGGTTGCTGAAACGTAGAAGAAAGTCGTTCAATTAATGGATAGATGAAGATGGGAGACTTCGAGATCGAGATCGAGATCGAGAGGAGTCGGGAAGACTCTGGAAAATTTGAGATAACCTATATGTTAGAGATAAACGGTGGACATTTAATCTCCCTATAATAAACGGTGGAAAAGGTTCGGGCTGGGGGCTCTTTTTTCTGAAATTTGTACCCACCCCGTCCCGCCTTGTTTTGAATTTACAATATATAGACCTGAGCCGAACTCGCCCCATACTGCATGAACTTGCCCAGACCCGCGGCTCCAGGACCTGTTTGCCCAGCCCTAATGAAAAACATGTATTGAAAGAATAAGATTCTTGGAGTGCAAGTTATAACAAATTGCACCCTTGTACCCAGCAGCATTTATGGGACTGCAAGTTTAACAAATTGCACCTTTGTACCCTGCAGCATATCCCATAATATATACATATAGATGCCCTAGATTGGAACTTATCGTCATTGTAATGCTTAAGGTTAAGGGTATATGGCTAAACCAAATATTTTCAAGTCTCTCAACATTGGATGTTTATCAAAAAATGCATAGAAAGGTGAATTCATATGCAAAGCTTTACATGGCATTCTATTGATTAGATACACAACATGAGCACATGAATATAACCATTGTTGTGACAATTCTGCAGCATTCATCAAGTGTAATTGCAGTCTCAACTATATGACGATGTCTTCTCTCAGCTAAACTATTCTACTAAGGAGTGCAAGGGCATGATATTCTGTGAACCATTCATTTATCTTGCAAGAATTCTTTAAAAGCATTACATGTAAATTCACCACCTCCATCAGATTGTAGAGATTTAATATTTGATTCCAAATTGTACTTAACAAACTTGTAGAACTTAATAAAAGTGGAGAAAGCCTCTGATTTATTGAAAAGTGGAAATAACAACAGAAATCTTGTACAATCATCCACAAATACAACATTGTATCTGTAACCTTCTATAGACCAGAGGAAAGACCCCATACATCCAAGTGAATTCTATCAAATGTTAAAACACACCTAGAAGAGTCACTAGGGAAGGGTTTCCTAGTCATTTGTCCATAGATACAATCAGAACATATTGAGTGACTATCATCTATAGAAGCAGCAATTTGAGATTTAACTAGCATGACTGACATTATTTCATTAGCTGGATGCCTCAATCTGTGGTGTCAAGCTAAAGACTTCACCAATTATCCCACAAATGCACTTGAACACTATCTTATAGATACAGGAATCTGAAACAGTTGCTGAGGTCTACTCCTTCCTTTGTACAAGATCACCTTTGGCACTTTGTCTTGCACAAAGAAATTAGTGTCATGACAGACAAACAAGAAATTAAATCTCCATATAATTGTTGCACAAACATGAGATTAACTGTGATTGATGGTACTTGCAACACTTTCTTTAAAACCAATGAACGTGATGGTGTTTTAACAACTATGGAACCAAAATTCTTAATAGGTAAACCTTGACCATTGCCTATTTTTATCTTCTCAGAACCTTCAAAAGATGCAACTTGATTAAGGCTTGCAAGATCAGCTGTCATGTGATGTGAAGCTGCTGTGTCCAAAATCCAAGATGGTTGATTGGAATGTGATGTTGATCCTTGAGCAGAGAACCCATGCATTGAAGTGGAACTTGATATGGAACCTCTGGCATATGAATTTGCTGTCGAGGAACCTAATTTGATTAATGAACAGCAAAGTTGGGTGGATTTGGAATAGCTGGAGGAAATTGATTTTGAAAGGAATGAGTCATATATGGTGGAGGTCCAGAAGGCTGATATGAATAATTGCCTCTGTGAAAACATTCTAGAGCAGTGTGCCCTCTTTTGCCACAAATTTGACATTAAGTGTTATATCCCTGTGGAGGACCTTGAGAATTTCTGAAGAATCAATTTGGAGCAGTGTGTACGCTTCTCTGACATATCTGGCATTCAAGTTGTTGATTAGTTCTGAAACCAGTGTTACTAGACCAATCATTATGCCTATTGTTGTTAGACCCATTTCCTCTATATCCAGACTTAAAGTTGCCACCTCCTCTCTGGTGATTACCATTGTAGTATCTTTATTGACTGTCGATGTAGTTTGATGGTGCAGAAGATTGCCTAGAAAACCCATCATTGGGAGGCTCCATTATTCCAGCAAAACCTGTTGAGGAATCAGGAAAATATGGCTGTTGGTTCACAGATTGTTGAGAACCAAATGCAGGCAATTGAGTTAAAGTTATTTTGCCTACTGTACTTGATGATTCCACACCAGAAGAATCGGAACTAGATGCTCCCTTTTGATATTGAGAATTTGCAGAAGATCCTTACATGTATAGAGCAGACATATTATGAGTCAAACCCACCACATCATTTTCTCTTTCAGCTCCTAAAAGAAGTGCCCTGAACTCCTTCATTGAAATAGTATACTCTCTTGCAAGAATCACAATTCATATAGTTGCATATTCCTTTGGTAATCCTGCCAATTTAGCAGTCATAACATCATTATCAGAGATGTATTCTCCTGCAGTAGTCAGTTGATCCCTTATAGACTTGATTCTTAGCAAGTACTTATCCATTGAATCCCCTCATTTTTGCATTGTATGTAACTCAGTCTTGAGATGATTTCCGTTTTATAAACCGAGGCATATCTTTCTTCAAGATTGGTCCACACTCCATGAGCTGTTTTGCATCCAATAACATGTTCAATTATATCATCTGTCAAAGTTGCAATCAATAGACTCAACAATGCCATATATGTTGTTTCCCTGTCTTGAAAAGCTGTTGTGACTTCCTTAGTGACACCAATTTCAGTATTTAGAACAAATTTAGGAGGACAAACTGCAGATCCATCAAAGTGGTCAAACAATTTATACCCTTTCAACACAAATTTGAACTGAAGGGACCACTTAGTATAATTGCTATTATTGAGTGTTATTGTTAACATTCAAAGTACTCCTTCAATTTTAATCACAGAAGACCCCATTTTTCCAAGATTAACTAGAAATCACTTCTTCATTCAAGAGACTAACTTTTCAATCAAGAAACTACTTCTTCAACCAAAGAAAGAAACTGACTACAACTATCAGATAAACTTCAGAATCTAATGGCTTTGGCCTTGAGATTCAATCCAAAAGGGTTGTTGGCTTTGGCCTTTTTGACAAACTCAAATCACAATATCAACTGCAATTAATCAGACAATGGCATTGGCCTTCACAATATTATCTACTTTTAACCAACATTTCAAAAGAAATTCATATGAATGAATCTAATTTGTAGCAAGAAAAAGTACCCCAAATCAAGAAAGAATGATATGGTGTAAAACTTCGAACATTGAACCTGACATTTCTTCAAATCTCACTTTTGTAGCATAGATTGCAATGGTGGTCACAGTCGCCGAAATGGATGAGAAAGCCATACAGTTTGCAGGAAACATTGGAGAAAAACCCAGAAAATCTTCAATTCTTGAACTCGAAACCCAGATGCAGAAACACTCCAGACGAATCCATATCCCCAAAGATGTCAACTTCGAAAACTTCCAATCCAGGAGCTACAATCCCACAGAAGAGCTCTGGCTCGATACCACATTAACAGTATTGAATTGAAACTAGAATAATGTAAAGGTTGCAGAAATCTCAGAGAGATGAACAACGGAAGAAAACTAGAGGGAGAGAGAGAAATAAGAACAGTTTGTAATGAATGAATGTGAAAGGTTACAACAGAATATTTGTAGTTGTAGCAGCAGCCTAACTATCTACACTTTGTTAGGCTTAACCCATACACCACATTACACTTGTCTGACCAACTATTTAGTAAACCAATCCACATATGAAACCTGGACAGTTATTACTTTTGAGTTTCTTCTTTTTCTCTTCTTTTGATTGTGTTACTTATCTGGATAGAGTTGTTCCTTGGTTTGGGGAATTTCTCTAACACTAAATCTGTGATCGTAAAGGCAAGACAATTATTTGGGTGGTTAAATTGGTGAGGCGGATGGTTAAGAATTCTCATGTTTTTCCTTTATGGATTGTAGTCAAAATATTTGTGCAAATTGATTGAGCTAGAAAATGTTTTGGTCGCTCTCTAAGAGCAAGTCCACCCCTTGTGGGTAGGCCGGCTCACAACACACAAATAGGGCAGCCTCGTCTTTTTTTGCTCTAGGCCAGCCCAAAATGTGCTGAGCTATGGGACGGGCCATCTGACGTCAGGCTTGCGTCAGCCTAATGTCAAAGCCCATTGAATTTTTTTTTTTTGGTCAGGCGCGTGTGAAACACATGCGAGTGGGGGCGCGTCCCCGACAAAAAAAGTGGTGGGGCATGCTGTTGCAGCATACCAATTTGCATCCGTGAGTGACCACGTGGCTCGTTATGGGCCGTTGGATTTCGAACTGCTAGTTTTTTGGACCGTTGGATTTCCAACAGTAAAAAAAATTTCAATTTTGAACCTAACAGCTAGTTGACGTGGCGATTTCTGGGCCGTTCTATCCAAGATCAACAATCAACGATTTTCGTTCCAAAAAATACGAAAAAAAAAACAAAAAACAAATGGTTAGAATTATGACCGTTGGCCCACATGTCAACATCTGGGCTGTTGGATTTGAATCTTTTTCAAATCCAATGGTCCAGATTAATTAAGTTAATAAAAAATTATTAAAAATTGTTTAAAAATACATAAATTTTTTTTATTATTATTTTCTATAAATACCTAACCATCATCTTCTACCTTACACCAAGTTTCAATATTTTCAACACTTTCAACCAAAGCTTTCATATATATTTTTGTCGAAAAATAGCTACATGGAAGCTCATCGAAGATGTTACTTTGTGTCAATGTTGGGTTCACATTACTCATGACCCACTTACGGGTAATGAGATGGGGTTACGAGAAATATGGAGCAGAATTAGGGAAGAGTTTTGTGAGAAGCTTGGAGATTGCACAAGAAGTAGTCAAGGTCTTCAAGGTCGTTGAAAAAAAATTCAACATAGCGTTTACTTGTTGGAAAAACACTCTCTCTCATGCGTCCACTAATCTGCATAATGGGACAATTTTAGCGAAACAGGTGACAATATTTTTTATTTATGTATATTTTAATTTATTTATTTGTGTTACACCCACATTTTGTAGACATTACAAGCACAAGCATTCTACAATGCGAAGAACAGCAACAAATCAATCAACAAATGGGAATGTTGGGAAATTGTCAAACATTGTCCTAGATACAAAATTGTGCCAACCGGTCCAGCAGTTGTCATGCACGACATTCCTCTACACAATTCGCCAGAAGCACACCCGGTAGAACAGGAAGACAACACATTTGAAGAGACAAAAGGGACACCTGAAAAAGTGTTGGAGATGCAACCTACTTGTCGGTCCCTAAGGCCTCAAGGTAAAAAGGTTGCAAAGAAAAAAAATGAGTTCTTCTAAAAATGACTACACAAAATATATGGACGAACTTGCGCACCAAGGGGAACTGAACATGGCATAGGAAGCGGTTAGAGATGAGGCAAAAGTTGCGGCTATGGAAGCAATCTTAACGGCTACTGAGAGATGTGATGCGGCTAATGAGAGACAAAGAGAAATACTTAATTGAGAAAGCTAGTTGCTTAGAGAAGAAAGGATGGCTCAACCAAATCGTGACACTATGAACAAGCCTCTAGAAGGAATGATGTAACGCCCCGCCCCAAAATATTTATGTTCGGGAAATAATTCCAATGATAGGCCCAATTCAATACTCTTGTTTATTTTACTACCATTAAACACTATTCTTTATTTGAATTCCTAATTACTCACAAAATCTACAACCAAACTTTACTTACCAAAAACATAAGACTTAATTTCATCTTATTCATCGAATTACTTTTCTTAAATCAACTTCCCAAAAAATATAATTCTCGATTATTTAAGGTTGTATCTAACCCTGTTAGACTGCCTACGTACCCTTGATCGGGATCAAGCCTTTCGTAGTTCACATTTCATTTCCAATCCATATTCAATTATATTCAAATAACCAAAATAACCAACATTAGCTTTAATAACGAAACACATCAAATGGATACCAAATTCATATTTAGAATATTAAAATTTGCACAAATTGGCAGTATTTGCCCACTGGCCACGTGCGGGTTCACATCTCATTTCCAATCCATATTCAATTATATTCAAATAACCGAAATAACCAACATTAGTTTTAATAACGAAACACATCAAATGGATACCAAATTCATATTTAGAATATTAAAATTTGCACAAATTGGCAGCATCGGCCCACTGGCCACGCGCTGTTACATGTGGCTTTTTTCGGCGAACGAAAACTCCAAATTCTGACTAACTCTAAAAATTACCAAATTTTACAGGCAAGTAGAGTTTAATGAGATGAACAACTTTCATACCTAGGCCGAAGTCTAATTCGGCCGAGAAACACCACAAATCACCCTCAAACCGCCAGAAACCCTCAAATTTGGGTGTTCCTGATTCGATTCCAATACAACTCCGACGCCCCAACCAATGCATGGCCTTTGTTCCAGGCCTCAAGAGGATACTATATGTGGTGTGATCGAAGGAAATTATTTTAGAATTGAAGGATCAATGACAAGAACCCTTCCCGCACCCACCGGTGCGGTTTTCCCCAATTCAATCCAATTTCATCAGTTTTCGAGTGGAAATGGGAGAGAGAACGACTGGGTTTAAAGTAAGGATCATTTTGGCACCAGTCTCATCGTCAACGGCAGCTAGAATCGTAAGATATGGATGGGTCGGGTCGACTGGTCGGTGGGTCGAAGAGGGATTCGGTTCCCTCTTTCTCTTCTCCTTCCTTTCCCCTCCTTTCCTTTCTTTCTGATTGGCTGGTCCCATTCCTCCTTTCTCTTCTCTCCTTCTCATCCCCAGCCGTCCATCTCTCACTCTTCTTTTCTTTTCCTTTCATCCCAGCCACACACGTGGCATATCACATGGCTCCAAAAAATCTGGAGCCTTCTAGATGAAGGTTAAAATTACAAAAATACCCCTGACTTTCAACGTTAATAACTTTCGTTATAACTCCGTTTCACTAACGGTTTGCGCCTACATGTTCGTGAGATCGAGATCTATTCAAACATATAAATTGCGACCTCGAAGGGTCTACGAATTTTAGATAATTAATTTCCAAACTTCAAACTTCATAACTAGTTTAATTTAAAACTCAATTCAAATAAATTAATATAAATTCTCAAAAAATAATATAAAATCTCAATAATACCAATACGTAAATTATAATAATTTCCGGTAACAAAATTTTAAAATTCCTCAATTAAATTTTCATAACCATAAATCTATTTATTTTCGATTTTCTCCACATATTCATAATTATGAATATTCTATTCCATATATTTAAATTTTCAAGGTATTACAAATGTATCCGAATTCTAAATATTTTGGACATCGGAAAAAAAAGACGTGGTGTGAAGGAGGCGTGCAAGAGATGAGGAAACAAGTTGAGGGGGTTCTAGCTACACATATCCTAGCAAAAGATTCTAGCACCACATATCCTAGCTCATCAAACTTTGTATAATTTCTTATTTATTTTTAGTACTAGATGTAATTTCTTATTTATTTTTAGTACTTTATGTAATTTCTTATTTATTTTTAGTAATAGATGTAATTTCTTATTTATTTTTAGTACCAAATAAACTTAAAACATACAAATAACTTTAAAATGAACTTAAAATGACATAAACTTAAAATTACATAAACTAATAACTTTATTCTTCCACCACAGGCTCCTTTTAATCTTCATCTTGTTGCAATCTCCATTGGTGCTTAATCAAGTTAGTTTGACGGGTTAGGTGCCAATATGGTATTTGCATATTAGTGTACCACTCCACGATCAAGTGATTGTAATGTCCATCCCGTTTCAATGGCTCGTGTTGCACAAGATCTTTAGTGTGGTCATAAGCACAATAGATACGTGTTCTTAAGTTGTTCATCGTGTCTAACTCGTATTCATCGACGGCATCATAATCACTTAACTGACTTAAAAACACAAACCTAGGCTTAAAAACACTTAACTAGACTCAAAGAACTCAAAACAAACTAAAAAGATTCAAAAAAACTCAAAACAATCAAATAGACTCAAACTAGACACTAGAACTTACTTTGGATGAAAATTGAATTGGTTTTGACTCAAAACACTTAAAAACACACTTTATGACATATTCTAACTAATTGGACATAACAAAATAAGGGGGATTGGGTTTTTGACGAATATGAAGTAAAAACAAGTAAATTGCAGAAACTAAGTAAAGGAATACGAATTTGGGTGAATCGATGGGTTATTAGTTAGCTAGAGGGTCCTTCTCCACACATGACACACTTGCATAGAAATTGATTTCCAGTTGCTTTTCCAATAAACCATGAACCTCAACATCTCAGATTAATCGTGACATCACTAATTAACCCTCAGATTTTCCTTAAGTCATTGAATTGGATGGAATATGCATCGGCAACCAAATTATTCTTCAATAGTTCCCTGCATGAACATCATAATAGAGATACAATCAAAGATCATTAAGCTTTGTGAAAATCATAAGCATTAACAAGGCATTCGTAACTATGACATCATGATACTCATGCCAGGAATTTAACTTAACACGATCGTGACCAGCGACCTTCACTACTTGTGAATATAAGTTCATAACGATTATGTGAGACTCTCTTATATTCTAGCATCAAATTCATGCATGCAAACTAAATGTGCACCCTTAATCAACATACAAGAATAAGTTCTTAATCCAACAATTAAGCAAATTGCATTCACAATTTATGAAATCACAACTGGAGTTAATCAATTCATATTGCA